CACCGCAGCTGTCTGTAGTTCCTGCACACATGATGTAGAGTGATGCAGGCTTAAAGGCACTATTTCTATTTACAGAAAAGTATAGTGAAAGCACTTTACAAGAGGAAAGCACTATAATCCAACAGTATAGTGTTTAAACTTCTAAATATGATTACACATACACACAAGTACTTATTTCCCAACAGTAGGCAACTCTCAGTAGCACTGTGGAACATACAGTGATATATAATATATGTTGGTTCAGTGTGGGCTGTTTCACTGTGCCTGCATAGCCTGGACAATGTTCAGGCCCGGGCCGGGGGGCAATGTCCACCCGTCCTGGCCCTGGTGGGTCTGCAGCAGGCAGTACAGCTGCTTTAGGTGGGTCACTATGTTGTCTTTGATATCTGGGATTGAGATCTGCAGGCGAATGCTGCCGCTGTCGAAGGACCGCGTGCTGTCCCCTGAAAACATCTCGCTTATCATACGTGCCACCACTGGAATAATCTGCAGGACAGAGCAGGGAGAGAGGACCAATATGAGGCACACAATCAGGCACTCTCAAAATAAAGTATTAATTGCCTGAGGTTCGCATGTAACACAGATGAATAGTTGTTCCTCAGGATTAAAACGGGAAATACGAGTAATGTGAAAAAATATGTGACGGGTTGCAGCTAAGGTTAAATTAAACAGTTTCTATTTTCTTTAAAATAGTGGTCATATCATATCAAAAATCACTTTTTCAGTGCTTTTGCATTTCTGTTTATGTTACAGGAGTGCCTACCAACCCCCAAACAATCAAAGAGACAACTCAAAACAAGTCTGGGATTTTTTTCGGTGGGAGACTTAAAGATAGAGGTGCGTTCAAGATCGAGGGTTAGTACAGGTAGATTGAGATGGACAGTAGAAAAAATAAGGGGAAAAAAAGCATGTAAACATCTTTTATTAGTAACCCAATACAAGTATGTAAAATATTATTGAAGTATGTCTCCATCGAGTAAAAAAAAACTAACCCTCCTATTGTCTTCGTTCCCCCCCCTTACTATGGTGTTCGGTCAAATTTGACCGGTCCTGTTTTAACTGCTATTACATTAACACAAAAACCATTAATCATTACCAAATTTCATTTAACAACCTTTCAAACTGTAAATATTGAATCAGACTACTGGTATACATGAAAAACTGCAGTAAATATACAAAGAATAGACACTGAA